TTGTAATTCGGAATTTATGTGATGTGATTTGATTTGATTTGATTGGTCGGTTAATAAAAATTATTTATAAAAAAAAAAAGCTGCAGTCTTACCTCTTGGGGTCTCTTGGGGTAGCATCTTCCAGCCAGTGCCAAGATGGTTCTGCCTTTATTTCCCTCACGGAGTTCTGCACGCTTCCTTTCTTGTTCCTAGAAAGCCCCTACGCTAATATTAAAACCGCAAGCGTTGCCGTGTGTGTCTGTGTAGAATATCTTCTCCTGCCTGCACTAGATGGGGTGTGATGTCCTTCACAGAGGTCAAAGTTTTACAGGCTTCATTGAAAGTGATGCAAATCAGATGGCGCGCTTGCAATGTTATCAAAGATTTGCAACAGAATTTTTAACTCTCTCTCTCTCTCTCTTGAGAAAGAAATAAGTTGCCGGCTCAGGGCAATTTACTTGAGTTCACTGAGGAGAGATATTTGAAATCTCTGTACTCAGCCCATCAAGCCCAGCGTTGTCTGGGTGGCAGGCTCTGCAGATTCTTTCCTGCTCCACGAAAACCCGTGCCACCATCATGGCTTTAAGGTGCCACAAGACTCACAGAATCGCAGAACTGTGGAGTTGGAAGTGTTAAGTTGTGGGTGAACATATCAGAGGACACAGCGATTCTTCAGACAGCTCTTGTTTATTCACAGGCCAGAACAGAACTGAACTGAAGGGTTCAGCCAGCCTGCTTATATAGAGCTCCACTACAACACAACAGTAACCACTTTCTGTAACTAGCCAATCACTGAACGTCACTTTCAATCCCTTATTTGCATATGTGGACCTGAGTGAAAACTATCTACAGTATTCCCCTGCTGGCCCACGGTGAGGAGAAGAAGAAGAAGAAGAAGAAGAAGAAGAGTAGTTTGGATTTGATATCCCGCTTTATCACTACCCTAAGGAGTCTCAAAGCGGCTAACAATCTCGGTTCCCTTCCTCCCCCACAACAAACACTCTGTGAGGTGAGTGGGGCTGAGAGACTTCAGAGAAGTGTGACTGGCCCAAGGTCACCCAGCAGCTGCATGTGGAGGAGCGGGGAAGCGAACCTGGTTCACCAGATTACAAATCTACCGCTCTTAACCACTACACCACACTGGCTTCAGTACATAACAGGAAGGGACCCCAAGGAACATCTAGTCCAACCCCCTGCAATGCAGAAATCACAACTGAAGCACGCCCAAATCTCCTGGTTTTTGCTGCAAGAAAGACTCATCCAGGGATCCCTCTGGAAGTTGTTTCCTAACCCAGCACAGGCACAGAACACCTGCTTTGCCTGCAGAAGGTCCTCTGCTGAGCTTCAGTCAGTGTAGGCTAGTGTTTCCCAAACTTGGGTCCCCAGCTGTTTTTGGACTACAATTCCCATCACCCCGACCCTGTCTGCTAGGGATGATGGGAGTTGTTGTCTAAAAACAGCAGGAGACCCAAGTTTAGGAAACCCTGGTATAGACAAGACTGAGCTAAGAAGACTGTTATGTACTGAGTTGAATAGGATTCAGAATGCAGCAGTCTGATTGGTCCTAGAACAATAGGATCCAGAATGCAGCAGTCTGATTGGTCCTAGAACAATAGGATCCAGAATGCAGCTGTCTGATTGGCCCTAGAAAAATAGGATCCAGAATGCAGCAGTCTGATTGGTCCGCAGGAGCCACCCAATCCAGCTCCAGGTGGAAGTGAATCCGCAACCTCATTGGCCTACAGGAGAATCCCGGAATTAGCCAATCACGTGGGGCCCATTGTGTAAATAAAGCAGATATTCTGGGGGAACTTTCATTCCTCCTCACCAAGATGAGCTGAATAAAGAGCATGAAATCCACTCTCGACTCCAAGTATATTTGACTTTGTGCAAGGAGTTCCTATGAGCTGTTTTTTTTTAACCTGGGGTTCTGTAGCTGTGAATTCAGGGGGCTGGACTAGATGGCCCCTTGGGATCCCTTCTTAGCCTCCCGTTCTTTGATTCCTTCGTGAGATGCGCTGTCGACCAGGCAGAGCGCAAAGAGTCCGTGGGGACGTCGGAGTCCACCGCCTGGAGATGAGGGAGGAGCGGCTGGATCGCTTTTCTTCCTGCCTGGCTTGTTTCCATTTCAGAATTAACAAAGGGAGAGAGAGAGAGAGAGAGAGAGAGAGAGAGAGAGAGAGAGAGAGAGAGAGGCGCCTATTATTGGACATTTCGCGCACAACAGATGGTTCTGCCTTTGCCTTTGAATTCCAGGCAGAAATTGCTAAGACAGCAAGAAAAAAATATTTTATTTATTTTTTCATTTTGCATTGTCCTTGGGCTTCCCTGCGTTTCTCGAGAGGAGAGATCAGAGCCTCCTCGGGGAAGCCAGAAGCGGGAACGCGGCAGCTACAGAGGCAGGACGGAAAGGGGGGCGCGCAGAACGGAATACGGAGTCATTTCTGAGATGCGAAGCGTTAGATTAACTTGTCATGTTTGCGCAGTTGACAGGACTGAGCGGCTGCAGCGGCAGCGCCTTCCCAAAGCGGGAGATCAGGTGTGAAAAGGGTGCGGGGGATCTTTGGAGCAAGTCCAAACATGTATGGAGGCTGGGAAAGAGAGAGGCGAGCGTTTTTGTGCTCCAAAAGTGAGCTGGGGCCGCAGCCGGGGAGATGATCCGAAGCGCCTGGGATAGGAAACCAAAAAGTCTTCGCTCCTGCCAGTTTTGCAAACCTTAGAACCCAGATCCTAAAGAAACCCAAACCAACCCAGAAACTGCTCACTTGGGCTGCATTTAAAATACAGTGGCACCTTGGGTTACATATGCTTCAGGTTACAAACGCTTCAGGTTACAGACTCCGCTAACCCAGAAATAGTGCTTCAGGTTAAGAACTTTGCTTCAGGATGAGAACAGAAATCGTGCTCCGGCAGCGCGGCAGCAGCAGGAGGCCCCATTAGCTAAAGTGGTGCTTCAGGTTAAGAACAGTTTCAGGTTAAGAACGGACCTCCGGAACGAATTAAGTACTTAACCCGAGGTACCACTGTACATGACTTCCTCTAAGGAATCCTGGAAACTGTAGTTTCTTGGAGCTCTGTTAGGGCAAACCAGAGTTCTCTGGATTTTTTGATGGGCGGAGCATGCTTTAAATGCATAGCGTATGTGGAGTTATGGAATCACATCCCATTAAAGGTAAAGGGACCCCTGACCATTTTGTCCATTTGTGACCGACTCTGGGGTTGCGGCGCACATCTTGCTTTATTGGCCGAGGGAACTGGCGTAGCGCTTCCGGGTCATGTGGCCAGCATGACTAAGCCGCTTCTGGCGAACCAGAGCAGCACACGGAAACATTGTTTACCTTCCCACCAGAGTGGTATCTATTTATCTACTTGCACTTTGACATGCTTTTGAACTGCTAGGTGGGTAGGAGCAGGGACAGAGCAACAGGAGCTCACCCCGTCGCCGGGATTCGAACCGCCAACCTTCTGATCGGCAAGTCCTAGGCTCTGTGGTTTAACCCAAAGAGCCACCCACATCCCATTAAGCGTCCTTTATTTAGCAGAATTTTAAGAGTGCTTAACGCTTAAAATACCAGAGCAGTGTACAAGAGGAGAGGAAGAAAACACAAGCTAAACAAAATAACAATGTCATAAATACTGTATAAAACAGGGTTCACCCGGGCCCAATGCTAGCTGTGGACAAAAACTAACTATATGAGAAGGCCAGAATGAAAAGGAAGGTTTCGCATGTGCCCAAGTTTATACCCCCAAACAACTTAGGAGCATGTGAAGAGCCTGAGGATCAGGCCAACAGCTCATCAAGTCGAGCAACCTGTTTTTACAGTGGTCAAATGCCTCTAAGAGTTGAGAAATCTAGATAGACTGCTTATGGACCTGGAGTTTCCATAAGATCGTCAGAAGAAGAGACCTGCTGGATCAAGCCAGCAGCCCATCTGGACCAGCATCCTGTTCTCACAGTGGCCAACCACAAAGCAGGATTTGAACACAAGACCCCTGTCCCTTCCTGCGGTTGCCAGCCACAGAGGCAAAGCATAGCCATCGAGATTGGTAGCCACTGAGAGACTTATCTTCCATCAATTTGCCCAAACTTATTTTAAAGGCACCCAGGTGTGGGAATGTTCAGGGAGGCAGGAGGGGATATATTGTTTATTAATATCCTTCCTAACTTGCGTTGGCAAGTTCTATAACTTAGCAGAGTTTTAATATTCTCCTTTAAACGCACAGAGGGAAGCTGGTTGCAAGCTTGTTTAAGCTTCTCAGTATAGATTCCTGGTAAGATCCCTTATTAATCCCTCTTAAAAGAATAAACACGCCACAATCTTAATTAAGATATATAAAAGTAGTTTACTCACAGCACCATCAGTTCACAGATGGATCCCTGAAGGCAGACTTAGTTACAGATATATACATGTGAGTCTATCCCATATGGAGATACAGTGGGTTACATACACTTCAGGTTACATACGCTTCAGGTTACAGACACTTCAGGTTACAGACTCCGCTAACCCAGAAATAGTACCTCGGGTTAAGAACTTTGCTTCAGGATGAGAAAATAAATCGTGCTAATGGGGGAGGCCCCATTAGCTAAAGTGGTGCTTCAGGTTAAGAACAGTTTCAGGTTAAGAACAGACCTCCAGAACGAATTAAGTTCTTAACCCGAGGTACCACTGTAGTCTCCTTGTCCTCTGTTGACTGAAAGCCTACAGGGCATCACTAGCTAAAAAGCTAGTGGTCCAACGACGAAGTCCAAAAGGAGAAAAAAGAGAGGTGGCTGTGTGCCTTGCGCTTTTGTTACCTGCACAGGTAAGGTCACGCCCACCCCTGCAAGAGGAAGGATGTGACTTATGTGTCACATCCTTTGTCCCTCGCCTGCTCACCTCCAGACTGGGCAGGCTACAAAACATCTAAGCATCACTCTCCCATTAACAATTAACTAATAACCAATTCCTTATTTGCCCAAGCATTCACTGCAGCGATGTAGTGCACCATCCGACCAGCGGGCGCTGCCAGCAGAACTAGGATTTTTCCTGCTCTCAGCTAGGTTAGAGCATGAGACTCTTAATCTCAGGGCTGTGGGTTCAAGCCCCACATTGGGCAAAAAATATTCCTGCACTGTAGAGGGCTGGACTAGATGACCCCTGTGGGCCCTTCCAGCTCTGCAGTTCTATGATTCTATGACTGGTGCACGCAGGTTCCTTTTCTCCACTGATGACATTAAGAGACTCGCGGGATGCCATCACCTCCAGAGGGGCGCTCAGCACTTGCGTACTGAGCTTCCTGCAAATCTGGGATTATTTTGACCCCGAACTGCTCAAAAGAGGGACAGATGATCAGGAAGAAGAGTTTGGATTTGATATCCCACTTTATCATTACCCGAAGGAGTCTCAAAGCGGCTAACAATCTCCTTTCCCTTCCTCCCCCACAACAAACACTCTGTGAGGTGAGTGGGGCTGAGAGACTTCAGAGAATTGTGACTAGCCCAAGGGCACCCAGCAGTTGCATGTGGAGGAGCGGGGAAGCGAACCTGGTTCACCAGATTACGAGTCCACCACTCTTAACCACTACACCACACTGGCTCAGGAAGCTTGTTCTTCCTTTCTTACACGCTGGGGTGGTTGTCTCTTATAAAGAAAGAGAAAAGTTTTGGTGGCGGAGGGGAGAGACAGAGAGAGACTGATTCTTCCTCTGTATTTTAAACTCGGCCTCTCGCCCCATGTCTTCAATTAATGGAGGCAATATTAATTAAGGAGGCAAACTCTGCGCTGCAAATTCCGCACAGGCTCCCCCGTTTTTTCCACCCAGTCTGTTGCCAGATTAGAAGGCGAGATCTGAATCGACATCTGTGGGCTTCATCTGTTGCTTGCATTTCTCTCCCCTTGTGGGAGTGAGGAGAGGGGAGGCGGCGGCGGGGAGCAGCGATTAGGAGGAGGGAGCTTGTTTTAACTCAGCCATTTATTCCTAGTTGTGCCATTGTTATTTTCTCGCAGCTGAGTGGAAGTTTTGCAGGCTCCGATGTGGAAAGGAGCCAGCCTGGAGTTTGGAGCTTTATAGGGGAAGTGCAACTTTTCCTGGGTCAAGCAGGCTTGGGACTTAGCCGTGGACGGATGGAGCCTGGCTTTTGAAAAAGAAGCTGTATCCCAACCGAGTCAGGCAACTGTTTGTTTGTTTGTTTTATGTTTATTTATGTTTATTGTTGTTGTTTAGTCGTTTAGTCGTGTCCGACTCTTCGTGGCCCCATGGACCAGAGCACGCCAGGCACTCTTGTCTTCCACTGCCTCCCGCATCTGGACATTGCATCTGGACACAACAGCTGGATTCACATGTTGCCATAAACCAACCAGCTTTTTTCAACCTGATGCCCTCCGGATAGCTTAGACCACAACGCCCATGCTGACTGGGGCTGAGGTGGAGTTCTAGTCCAAAGATCTGGAGGGCATCAGGTTAGCAAAGGCTGCAATGAACTGTTGTTCACCACCACCACCCCAAGATGGTGGTTTGCTTCACTCAGACGCCACGATCACTAAGCCAAGAACAAATTCTGGCTTCACAGCATGGTTGGTTTGGAGGGAATCAAACCACAATCCCCAGTTTGGATGTAACACTAAGCCAGGGATTGTTACTCCTGCTTATGCAATGGGAAGAGCAAAGCAAGAAAAAATGTGTTGTTGTTGTTTAGTTGTTTAGTCGTTTAGTCCGACTCTTCGTGACCCCATGGACCAGAGCACACCAGGCACTCCTGTCTTCCACTGCCTCCCGCAGTTTGGTCAAACTCATGCTGGTAGCTTTGAGAACACCATCCAACCATCTCGTCCTCTGTCATCCCCTTCTCCTTGGGCCCTCCATCTTTCCCAACACAGGGTCTTTTCCAGGGAGTCTTCTCTTCTCATGAGGTGGCCAAAGTCTTGGAGCCTCAGCTTCACAATCTGTCCTTCCAGTGAGCGCTCAGGGCTGATTTATTTTTATACAACAAGCAAAACATTGCCCCTGTCTCCTCCCTCCCTGTCCCCGGATTCATGGCTGGTTAGGATGCGTCGTCCCAAAGCATTATCCCACAAGTTTTACATGTGTTTCAGGCAGATGAAAGCCATGTTCTTTTGCCGTTGCATAGGAAATAGAATCCAACCAAATAAGATTAAAATTGTCTGTAGCAGAGTCTTGCTGGCAGTTCCTGTGTTAATTCTCTCCATGAGGGCGAGACGCCGTTCTAGATTCCATTCTAGAATCGGTTCTCCAATGACCAACCTTCCAAAGTTTCCCACTCCCATTAGCAAAGAAAGAGACCACACACGTTTGGTAAGTTAAAAACGGTTTACTTACAAAGTCTTCAAATTCATGAGTTTTTCCACACAGCAGTAAGAAAACACAGGCAGTAAAACTGAAGTTCCAAAGTGGTACATGTTTCTAAATTATTTGTAAAGAAACGCAAAGATGGCTTGCTTAAGCCATGCGGTCTAAGCTTGGAGCATCCCTTCCCTCTCTGCCATCTCCAAGCTCGTTACAGGTCTGAGACCACAGAGGCTGGATGTTAGTTCACCCTGAATGCTTTTCTGCAAAGCGGAAAGGCAGAGAAGAAACATTTTAAAATAAAACAAATGGAACTAAGTTGTTGTTGCCCCACTGCCTTAATCAAGCTGATCTCATGTGCAGTTAGAGGGTTCTGAGTGCCTCCTTTTTGATCAAAGCTAGGGATGGGGAAAGGAATTTAATTTAGCTTACTATTATATATATATATATATATATATATATATATATATATATATATATTCGTTTTCAACATATCCTTTTCAACTATAATTAAACATATTTTCATATCTTATACCATTTTTTTGACTTCCATCAATCACTTCTGAAAGTTTTCCAATCTATTCACATAATATACATTTCTTACTTTCACTATTACATATAAATCTCATAACTAATATCCTGTTCTTTCTTTACTATGCAATATTTCATATATTTCTCTTTACAAAACTTCTTGTAGTCCTACTAGCGTAATTTGTTGATTACAATTGCTCTTCAAATAGTTTGTATATTTCTCCCAATCTTCTGTGAAGAATATTAATAGTCAAGATGTTAAATTGTTTTTATACGCAACAACAGCAGCAAGAGTATTGTTAGCCCAGAAAAGGAAGCAAGAAGAAATCCCGACGAAAGAAGAATGCCAGACAAAATTAATGGACTATGCAGAATTAGATAAAATGACAGGAAGGATTCAAAACCGGCAGGACCAGAGATTCTCAGAAAATTTAGCTTATTATTAAAGGTTTAAACCTGAAGGAGCATCTCCACCCCAACCCAGGCACTGAAGTCCTTCTCTGAGGGTCTTCTGGCCGTTCCCTCACTGTGAGAAGTGAAGTTACTGGGCACAGGGCCTTCTCGGTAGTGGTGCCCTTCCTGCAGAACGCCCTCTCATCAGATGTCAAGGAGATAAGTACAGTGGTGCCTCGCAAGACGAAATTAATTCGTTCCGCGAGTCTTTTCGTCTTGCGGTTTTTTTCGTCTTGCGAAGCACGGTGTCGGAAAAGTTTTGGAAAAGCTTCAAAAATCACCAAAGTCTTCAAAAACCTCAAAAAAGGCTACCACACCGTGTGCTATGAGTTGCTCCTCGAAGTCAAGTCGCAACTGTATTAACGGTTTTAAGAAAAAGGAAACAAACTTGCAAGACGTTTCCGTCTTGCGAAGCAAGCCCATAGGGAAAATCGTCTTGTGAAGCAACTCAAAAAACCATAAATCCTTTCGTTTTGCGAGTTTTCCGTCTTGCGAGGCATTCGTCTTGTGAGGTACCACTGTAACTATATAAGCTTTAGAAGACATCTGAAGGCAGCCCTGTATTGGAAAGTTTTCCATTTTTGATGTTTTGCTGTGCTTTTATTATTCTAGAAGCTGCCCAGAGTGGCTGGAGCAACTCAGTCAGATGAGCGGGGTATAAGTAATAAATCATCATCATCTTCATTAAATATGCACTTGCCAAAGCAATATGAGTATCGAAACACAGCCATCCTTCAAAATTGGGACATACCTGAATTTTGCAGTCAAGTTCTCCACTAAAACGAGGTTCGCAAAAGTGCACATATTACGACAAAAGTGTACATATAAATCTGTGAAAAGAACATAAAAATGCATTATATTAAGAGAAAGCAGGTGCAGAGGTAGTGTGAAACAGTCAATGCTGGCTGCAAAATGTTCCTAACCGGAGAAACTCATACTAAATGCTCACGTATTTTTACAAGGACCTTAAAAGAATAACAATCACAAATTGCTGCAGAAATGTGGCAAACTGGGTTTGCGGTTGGGGGGGGGGGATGAGAAGTTGAGGGAACCAAAATGGATAGATCCTTTTGTCCCTACCCAAAGCCTAATTGGGGATTCTCACCTTCATTTTCGTACTGTATCCCCCTCCCAAATAAACCCCTCATCTCTGTGAAAAGAGCTGAATTACCACCTCAGCTGGGTCCCCTTAAGTTAAGCCACAAAAATAACATTACAGTCATACCTCATGTTACGTCCGCTTCATGTTACATTCTTTCAGCTTACATCCCGCAGCGACCCGGAAGTACCGCAAAAGGTTACTTCTGGGTTTCGCCGCTCGCGCATGCGCAGAAGCGCAAAATGACATTATGCACATGCGCAGAAGTGGCGAATCGCAACCCGCGCATGCACAGATGTGCCACTGTGGGTTGCGTTTTTTCATGTTGCAAACGGGCCTCCAGAATGGATCCCGTTCACAACCAGAGGTACCACTGTAATACGATGGTGTATCTTTAAATATGATTTCACTGCTGAGCCCAGATTATGACGATGTTACATAACTATCTTGGAGACATTCCATGCAGACTTCCAAAACGCTGTCCTTCCAGTATCGAAGCACAAGAGGGCGCTGCGCCTGAGCCTTTTCCCTCCCCAGCCTCCGCCAACAGCTTGACGTTCAACATTTCAGCAAAACCCTGCAACAACCAACTTAGCAAAGGATTTATTCAAATGTAGACAGCTACTTTCCTGTAAACCGTGCAAGTCTTGCAAAAAAATAAAAATTCTCTGCACTGCCAATCGCTTGCATGAATTATCACGGGATAAGCAGCTGTTGGAATGTAAAACAACTAATTAACCTTAATGGAATTATGCATTAATCTTGGCGGAAGAATATTTGCAGGCTGTAGAAATAAGAGACATGAGAGATATTAAATCAGTGCGTAATTTTTTTTTATTATTATTTAAAAAAAAGACTCCACAACTCTGCGTGCTTTTGAAATGTGTCATAGGTTAGCAGCAGGCGCGAATCAATGCGCTCTTACAGTGGACATCTGCTTAAGCTGGGCAAACATTTTTAACCCTCTGAGGTGGATGCAAGGCTTAGAACAGGGAGCAGCGAAGAGAGGAACCAGGGGCAAATCTGTGCCCCCTTGAAAAATATAAGCTGTGTGTGTGTGTGTATGATATTGTGGTGCTGGGACAAAGAACAATGGCTGGGGGAATGGGGAAGGAGATACCAGAAAGCTCAGTGACTCCATGCAAAACATTCAATATTCGGTTTCTGGCATCTCCAGTTAAAAGAACATCTGGCAGCAGGACACGGCAAAACATCTGCCTCCTCTTGATTAAAATAGAGAATTAATGGATTAAAAAACCCCACCTCGGCTAGCTTTAGAGGAGAGTTAAAGGTAAAGGGACCCCTGACCGTTCGGTCCAGTCGCGGACGACTCTGGGGTTGCAGCGCTCATCTCGCTTTATTGGCTTAGGGAGCCGGCATACAGCTTCCGGGTCCTGTGGCCAGCATGACTAAGCCCCTTCTGGCAAACCAGAGCAGCGCATGGAAACGCCATTTACCTTCCCGCCGGTGTGGTACCTATTTATCTGCTTGCACTTTGACGTGCTTTCGAACTGCTAGGTTGGCAGGAGCAGGAACCGAGCAAAGGGAGCTCAACCCCGTCGCGGGGATTTGAACCGCCGACCTTCTGATCGGCAAGTCCTAGGCTCTGTGGTTTAACCCACAGCGCCACTCGCGTCCCTAGAGAAGAGTTAAGGTGGTCCTAAATTCACTCGTGCAGCAGAAAGGCAAATGAAGGTGCCCCACCTTAACTGCAAAAGCCTTTGCCAAACTGGTGCCCTCCAGATATTTTGGGACACAACTCCCATCAGCCTTAGCTGGTGCGGGTTGGTGAAGAAGGCTAACGTCACCCCTAAATGCATCCCACACTCTCACAAATGGTTTTGTGCCTTGGAGTGATTGTGATGTCGTAGAGTACCAGACTAGGATCTGGGAAACCAAGGTTCATATCACTGCATCTAAGACTAATTTCCTATTATTCAGGCAAATCTCCTTGGTTTTTAGGATGAATATCATAGTTAGGCCATATTAGGGCTGCCAATCTCAGACGTATCTGGGATTCATTTGTTGGGAATAGAGTCCAGGTGGATATTTCGAAAAGCACTGAAATGTCTGGAAAAACCTGGACATATGGCAACTTGATACGATACGATAATCTTTATTGTCATTGTCCCATACAGAACAATGAAATTGGAAAAAGAAAACTACATAAGACATTCAAAACCAACAAGCCTGCTATCCCAGCTATCCCAACCTGGTTAGCCCCCTAAAAACTCTGATACCCCATTTTTAAAATACAATATACTCCCATAGAGACTCCTTACACTGCATTTAAAACCAAAATCGCATTTGGGTAGAAACTGTTTCTCAGGCAGCTAGTCCTAGTCTTTATAACCCTGTACCTTCTTCCAGAAGGCAGAAGCTGAAAGAGATCATTTCCAGGGTGCGCACTATCCTGCGCCATCTCTGCAGCTTTCTTATGGCACCTGGAAGCGTAGATTTGATCCAAGGTGGAAAGAGTGCACCCAATTATTTTCTCCGCAGTCTTTACAACCCTGGACAGCATTGTTTTTCCCCTGGCCGTGGAACTCCCAAACCACACACAGAGACCATAAGTTAATACACTCTCAACAGTACAATGGTAAAATGCCATCAACAGGTCCTTTGAGAGATTATTTTTCCAGAGGATTCTCAGAAAATATAACCTCTGCTGTGCTCTCTTCATCAGGTCTTTGATGTTTTCTCCCCAACTCATGTTGGAAGTGTTGATTTTTTTGGCAAATTTCCTTTGCAGAAAAAGCTCAGCAACTTTTCACTTTTTGTAATATGGCAACCCTAGACCGTATCAAGGTAAAAAGCTGAAAAAGCTACCCAGTGCAATTTTTTTCTGTTCGGGATAACTGAAGTAATCGTACAAAGTGCTCCAGAACCATCCACCCGATCTCTTTTAGATATTCCAGGGACAGAGCACTCAACTCCTTATGGATCTTTGAAGGGGGTGTGTTCAACTTTGTAATTGCTGCAAGCCCAATGTGGATTGTAAAACAGCAAAATTCGCATCTGACCCCTGAAGAGTTAATGCACAGTGAGCAGAAGGAATAAATACTGTCATATATTATGGGCACAACAGAGCCAAAGTTAAGCACTTTCAAATCCCACCAGTATCAACAAGAAGAGATATAAACACGTGCTTGGCCTTCCCATTGAAATCAGAGGGCCCTAACTTTGGCTCTGTTTGTACCCTGTGATTTTATTACCGGGCAGCACCGAGCCAAAATTGGTTTAACCAGTGAATAGCTTGTAGCAACTGCTGCTTGTCTAATTGAATTATTTTACAGGAGCTTTGATAATCTGCTATTATCACATCTCCCCAAACTTGTTTGGACCTTGTTTTCTCTCCTGTGCAGGAAGAGGTGATCTGAAAGGTGGGGGACATTGAAATCAGTCCCTGGTCACGGCCAGTTCACTTCTTGTTGAGATTTAGGCTCTCGGCACTTTTCCCCCTCTGCAGAGGCCGGGGACTAATGACGATGGTGAATCCAATTGGGTGAATCCGATTGGTTTGCAGATGGCTCTGGAGGATTTCCCAGTTGCTAGGACTGGTGCCCATTTTGAAGCCATGGCCAACCTGTGGAACATCCATATGACTCGGGCCATTGGCATAATCCTTGCTGTTTTGTGTGGCCCACTTGGCTCCCTGGTATACTCCAGAGCTCAGGGTGAGGAAACAAGCTGGGAGATGGCTAATAATAATAATAATAATAATAATAATATTTATACCTCTCCCATCTGGCTGGGTTTCCCCAGTCACTCTGGACAGCTCCCAGCAGAATTGTAAAAATATGATAAAACATCAAATACAGTGGTACCTCGGGTTACATACGCTTCAGGTTACATACGCTTTAGGTTACAGACTCCGCTAACCCAGATATAGTACCTCAGGTTGAGAACTTTGCTTCAGGATGAGAACAGAGATTGTGCTCCGGTGGCACGGCAGCAGCGGGAGGCCCCATTAGCTAAAGTGGTGCTTCAGGTTAAGAACAGTTTCAGGTTAAGAACAGACCTCCGGAATGAATTAAGTGCTTAACCCAAGGTACCACTGTATTAAAAACTTCCCTAAACAGGGCTGCCTTCAGATGTCTTATAAAAGTCAGATAGTTGCTTATTTCCTTGACATCTGCTGGGAGGGCGTTCCACAGGGTGGGTGCCACTACCGAGAAGGCTCTCTGCCTGGTTGCCTGTAACCTCACTTCTCGCAGTGAGGGAACTGCCAGAAAGCCCTTGGAGGTGGACCTCAGTGTCCAGGCTGAACGATGGGGGTGGAGACGCTCCTTCAGGTATACTGGGCCAAGGCTGCTTAGGGCTTTCAAGGTCAGCACCAACACTTTGAATTGTGCTCGGAAATGTACTGGGAGCCAATGTAGGTCTTTCAGGACTGGTGTTATATGGTCTCGGCGGCCACTCCCAGTCACTAGTCTGGCTTCCACATTCTGAATTAGTTGTAGTTTCTGGGTCACCTTCAAAGGTAGCCCCACATAGAGCGCATTGCAGTAGTCCAAGCAGGAGATAACTAGAGCTTGAACACAAGTGCAGAAAAACTCTGTTTAAATGCAATTGAACACTGATAAGGACTCATCATTGAGCCTTCCTAGTAGGGTTGAAGGCATACTTTGCTGCTTCCATTGCATCCTCATTGTGTCTGGCTTGAAGGAGGTGACAGAACTGGCGGTAGCTTGTTTTTGCAAAGCATTTTGTGGATAAAATTGCTTGCATCCACTGGGATCTTGACTCCGCTGTTACTGCTGATGGGTCTCAAGAAGTGTCCAGGTCACTGTCCAGTCCTGTTGTGTTGGGTAAGGTTAAGTTGGTAAAGATCGAGGGTGTGGACAAGGCCTTTGGGTCAGTCAGGGCAACCCTTTGCACTCTTGCCCCTCTTGTTGCGCTCCTTCCTGAAACTTTGCTGCTTCATCCTGTAAGTGCAAGGACATAGGGTTGGATCATTCTTTGTGTGAGAAACTCCCCGGCCGTAGAAAGCTAGCACTTCAGGGTTTTAATTCAGCTTTCTCCCTGACGTCCAGGTAAACTGCCTTGTGGGATATATAAATTTAGTAAATAAATGGCCCAAGAGCCTTGCAAGAAAAATGCGGAAATATTAGGAGAGAATTGTGGTAGCTGCAAAGATCTCATAGCAAACCCCCTCCCAATTTCTAAAGCAGACACACTAATTGACACGCTTTGCAGGCTCTGCCAGTAGCTCCCGGACAGACTGAGCAGCTGGGACTAGCCTTTTAATAAAGAATTCCTAGTGCCCTGCTCTGGGGAACATTAAATCAAACGTGTTTATTATGGCTTTCAATAGTCGTGGCAGCAAGCAGCAAAGGATGTTGTTCTCCCTGCCCCCACATTGCCAGAAGTCTCTGTTTTCTTGGAACAGGCCTTGGCTGGCCTCAACACCCCACAATTCGCCCAGCAAACTTGTTAGAGGACACTTATGGGCTCAGAGATCTCAGAGTTTTTCAGTGGCTTTGCAAATTTCAGTGCCAAAAGTCAGAGCCATAACTATAGAGGGCTAGATGGGGTTTTTTTTGCCCCAGGCTAAGCCTCCAGAGGTGGTGCTGTGGTCTGAACCACTGAGCCTCTCGGGCTTGCCAATCAGAAGGTCAGCGGTTCGAATCCCCGCAGCGGGGTGAGCTCCCGTTGCTCAGTCCCTGCTCCTGCCAACCTAGCAGTTCGAAAGCACACCAGTGCAAGTAGATAAATAGGTACCACTGTGACGGGAAGGTAAACGGCCTTTCCTGGCACTCGTCACGGTCCCCCATGCACCAGTCCTGCTGGCCACATGACCCGGAAAACTGTCTGTGGACAAACGCCGGCTCCCTTGGCCTGAAAGCAAGATGAGCACTGCAACCCCAGAGTCCCCTTTGGCTGGACTTAAGAGTCCAGGGGTCCTTTACCTCTTTTTTTCCTTCTGTGTGTGCATTGATCCTCATTTGCTTGCGGGGAGATTAGATGACGCTAGCCATTTAATGAGCATTCGTTCTGATTTGTTTGTGGGGAAGTCAGACGATGCGACAGCAATGCAAGTGATACTTGACATATCACAAAAAGCCCAATCTTTTTAGGGAAGAGGGTATTCTGCGCGGGACATCCCAATAATCAACTATCTTTGCACAACTATCTTTGCCGGGATGTGATTGAACCCCACCCCAAAACAGTAAGAGTCTAGAAGACCCTCTGCTGGGTTTTTATTGGGGATTATTTCTGATTTGCTTGCAGGTGAGTTGGATGACGACAAGAAGAAGAAGAAGAAGAAGAAGAAGAAGAAGAAGAGGAGGAGGAGGAGGAGGAGGAGGAGGAGGAGTTTGGATTTGATATCCCGCCTTTCACTCCCCCCTTAAGGAGTCTCAAAGCGGCTAGCAATCTCCTTTCCCTTCCTCCCCCACAATAAACACTCTGTAAGGTGAGTGGGGCTGAGAGACTTCAAAGAAGTGTGACTAGCCCAAGGTCACCCAGCAGCTGCATGTGGAGGAGCGGGGAAGCGAACCCGGTTCACCAGATTACGAGACTACCGCTCTTAACCACTACACCACGCTGGCATTCACCCTGATCAGCCTGAGGGGAGCTTACATGTCTTCCCATGGGCCACTTGTGGTCACTGACTGGTTGGACACAGAGGAATGGTAAGAGGAACCAGCTGGGAAACCTGCAAGAGAAGAAGGCTCAGAGTCAGGGGACTGGAAGTGTTGGAAGCTGAAGAGCTAACAGGGTTTAGTGAGCAGGGAGAGTCTGTGGCAGAGAGAAGTGTAGAATCAGAGGCAGAAGATGAAGCAGAGGAGGAGGGAGGCAGAGAGGCAGAGATGAGTTGGGCTGGTGCAGAGTCACGGGGGTCTCCCCCTCCTGCTGCAACAAGCTCCCCTTACCCACCAGTCACCCAGAACCAGGAGAGGCATGAAGCAGGAGGAGCAAAGATTGGCAAAAACACTAGAGAGGAGGGGACATAGGCAGCTGTGGGGACGCAAGGGCTTTCAGTCTCATCAACTGCTTCATGGGGCCCAGACCTGCCGGACAAGAGCTGCTGTACCCATTAGGCATGGCACTCCTGTGCAGATTGTGTTTTTGCTAATAAAGAGTTAACGTCAACTTGTTTTGTGTGATTTACTGCAGGCTCGTTCCTGTCACTTGTCCATTCCACCCTTTCCAATGCATTTTGCCCTCAATCTGCAATATATTTCTGTGCACGTTGGCTTGTTTTTAAGTGCATTTGTTGTGCTAGGGTGACTGAATGCTGAATGCTTTAATCATGCTGTGAACCGCCCTGAGATCTATAGATGAAGACTGTCTCAAGGCAAATTTTAAAAAATGTAGTATAAACACCAACAATTGGGAAACACTGGCCTGCGAGCGCTCCAGTTGGAGACAGCCTTTACCAAAGGTGTCCTGGGCTTTGAAGACGCTCGAACTCAGGACGCAAGGGAGAAACGTGCTAAGAGGAGGGCACGCTTGGCAAATCCGCACCGTGATCAACTCCTGCCCAGAAACCAATGTCCCCACTGTGGAAGGACGTGTGGATCCAGAATTGGCCTCCACAGTCACTTACAGACTCATTGTTAAAACAGTGTTTTGGAAGACAATTTTACTCGGCTACAAGTGATCGCCGAAGAAGAGAAGAAAGAAGACAAATTTAATAATAAAATTATTAACGTGCAAACCTGAACTCCCAGTATGCACTTGAATCTCTCCTGCAAAACACGGACAGCCTGGAGGCTCCTTGAGAGATGTGGGTGGTCACCACTGACTAGATATGACAGATTTTTTTAAAATGCAGATTGTATCAGCTGGGGATGGGGGAGTTGATAATTAATGGGATCAAAGCTGTTGTGGAGAGGAAATGCAACTCTTTTCTTCCCCTACTGCAGTCCTGATGAAAAATCCCTCCTCTGAGAATACTTTGTGTGGAAACTCCCCACAGATGCTGGTTGGGGATTCTGGTAAGTAGGCAGGTCAATCAGTTATCCGCTCCCAGTGTTGGATGCGCACGACAAACTCCTAAGATGCATATATGCTTGTTATCTTTCTGGAGCGCCTGTGTGCATACATTTTAAGACGCTGCTGTGAGCCCACCACTGGCTGCAGCTGTTGCTATAGCATCCTCTAGCAAGAACTCTGTTGTTGTGGGGGGGTTTTTTGGTATCTGGGAGAAGATGATCTGGAAAAAACATTTCTACAAAGTGTCGCCAGTATTCTGATAATACCCAGCTCTATTTCACTGTAACTTCTGAATCAGAAGAGGTCTTGCATGCCCTAAATCTGGATGAAATCATGGGCTGGATGAGGACTAATAAGCTGTGTTGTATCCTGACAAAACACAGAGACCCTATAGAGGGGTAGCCCATTGGGAAGAGTTTTGTTTTTTTAAAAAAAGCTTACCAGATTTCCTCTCTGATGAAAATAGGGACGTCCTATTCCTTAATAATGGGATGCGGGTGGCGCTGTGGGTTAAACCACAGAGCCTAGGACTTGCCGATCAGAAGGTTGGCAGTTCGAATCTGCGCGATGGGGTGAGCTTCCGTTGCTCGGTCCCAGCTCCTACCAACCTAGCAGTTCGAAAGCACGTCAAAGTGCAAGTAGATAAATAGGCACCTCTCCGGCGGGAAGGTAAACGGTGTTTCCGTGCGCTGCTCTGGTTCACCAGAAGCGGCTTTGTCATGCTGGCCACATGACCCGGAAGCTGTACGCCGGCTCCCTCGGCCAGTAAAGCGAGATGAGCACCGCAACCCCAGAGTCGGCCACGACTGGACCTAATGGTCAGGGGCCCCTTTACCTTTATTCCATAATAATAAGAACACCCCACCCATTAGATTGGGTTGCGTCAGCCACTCTGGGCTGCTTCCAACATATATAAAAGCATAACAAAACATTAAATATAAAAAAACCTTCCCTATACAGGTGTTATGTACTGAGTTGAATAGGATCCAAACTGCAGCAGTCTGATTGGTCCTAGAACAATAGGATCCAAAAGGCAGCAGTCTGATTGGGACTAGAACAATGCAGCAGTATGATTGGTTGGCAGGAACCACCCAATCCTGCTCCAGATAGAAGTGAATCCACAACCTGATTGGCTTACAGTAGAATTCCAGAATTAACCAATCATGTGCAGCCCATTGTGTAAATAATGTATATAAAGCAGATACTGTGAGGGGACATTCATTCATTCCTCCTCACCACTATGAGCTGAATAAAGAGCATGAAATCACTTTGCGACTCTGAGTATATTGCACTGGCGACGAGGATGGGATCCCGCTGAGCTGACTGCCACACACAGCACCGCAGCACCGCCACCTGCCGCACCGCTGCCTCGCACCGTGTATCCAGGCTTCAGCTCCGGGACACAAGGAACTCAGAATGGCAGCCAACAGCAGCTTCTCGCCATTCAACCCAGCATCTGGAGACTGGGAAGCGTACGCCTCCCGTTTCACCTTCCTCCTAGAAGCCAAAGGGGTCACTGACGAAGAAGACGCCAAGAAGAGGGCGATATTCTTCAGCGTCTGCGGAGAGGAGACGTTTGAAATCGCCCGGGCTCTCCTTGCGCCTGAAGACGTCGCTACTGTTCCATACAAAACAATAATGGAACAGCTGAAGGGGCACTTTCGCCGCAGCCCTCAGTGGTGGCTCGTCGAAATGCCTTCTACGCAAAGCGGCAAGCCCCTGGGGAAACCATAACTGGGTTTGTGACCTCCCTCCGCCAAGCCGCCCGGTTCTGCAACTTCTCAGAGCTGGAGAACATGCTTCGTGACCGCCTCGTCGGTGGCCTGAAGGATGAGAAGCTGCAACGACGCCTCTACGCTAAGAAGGACCTAACGTTCCAGGTCGCTCTGGAGGAGGCCCTGGCAACAGAAGCTGCCGAGAGGTCGACCCAAGAGGCACGGCCGAGCCTGCCATCCCAACCGAGGGTCCACCACGAAGACCTCACCGACGACTCAAGATCCGACAGGGAGGAGGTGCACCGAGTACAGCAGCGCACTCAAGCAGCGCACAGACCACAGCTGCCTCGACGAGAAGGAGGGAACTGCGCAAGCTGCGGGGAGAGTCATGAGAGGAGGACCTGCCGTTTCCGCAACGCAGAGTGCAGGCAGTGCAGAAAATCGGGACACATCGCCCGGGTGTGTCGGGCTCGGCCCACCCGACACCAGGCATCAGATGACCAATCCAAGAGCCCCAGGTCCCGGGGCCCAACGCACCAAGGCAACTCGACGGAGCTCACGGACTTCCAGGTATACCAGTTGCCCCACCCCAACGTAGAGAAAATTTATGTAGAGGTACAGATAGAGGGGCCCCTTGCCGCATGGAGCTTGACACGGGTTCAACTCTATCCATAATCTCGGCAAGGACCTTAAGGAAACTGTGTCCTACTGGGGGTCCCAAACTCAGGCCGGCCCCATTCACCCTCCGGGACTTCCAGAAACGTAAGGTCCCCACAATGGGGGTGGGGACCTTCAGGGTGCAATACCGAGGGCGGACGCGGCAACTGGACTTGCTTGTGGTCAAGGGCCCCTACATTAGCTTACTGGGATTGGCATGGTTTGGACCACTGGGGCTAGCTGTCACCGGGGTGAACCACACTAGCTTACAAGTGGACGTGGACGCCATATGCAAGGAATTTCCAGGGGTTTTCGATGGGAAATTGGGACAGTATACGCCCCCCCATTGCGCTACAGCTTGACCCCGCAGTACGACCGGTCAGGCTCAAGGCCCGCCGGGTCCCGTTCGCCTTGAAACCCCGTATAGACGAGGAATTGGACCGACTCGTGGAGCAAGGAGTGCTGGAGCCGGTGCCTAATGCCCCTGGGAAACCCCAATCGTCACACCCGTCAAGCCTAATGGTTCGGTCCGCATCTGCGCAGACTACAAATGTACCATAAACAAGGCCCTCACGGCCCACACATACCCAGTGCCAGTGGTCAGCCATGTCCTTGCCACCCTGGCTGGGTCGAAAATTTTTGGCAAGCTGGACTTGGCCCAAGCATATCAACAGCTGCCAGTAGATGAGGCCACAGCAGAGGCACAGACGATTGTGACGCACAGAGGAGCGTTCAGGGTAAAGCGGCTGCAATTCGGTGTCAGCGTGGCACCAGGCATATTCCAGAATCTAATGGACTCTCTCCTTAAAGGGATTCCTGGCGTCACCCCCTTCTTCGATGATGTGTTGATTGCCGGGCCCACACCAGAGGAGTTTGAGGACCGCCTCCGCACCGTTCTGCACCGTTTCCAGACGGCGGGTCTCAAGGTGAAGCGGGAAAAATGTCTACTAGGAGTGCCTCAGGTGGACTTTCTGGGATTTATGGTGGACGCAGAAGGGGTCCACCCGACTGGGGACAAGGTACGGGCCATTTGTGATGCCCCAGCACCCAAGAGCAAGACTGAACTTCAGGCCTTCTTGGGACTATTGAACTTTACCATTCCTTCCTTCCCCACAAGGCGGCGGTAGCGGAGCCCCTACACAGACTCCTGGACAAGCGGGCCCCTTGGGTGTGGGGCCAGCGCCAGGAGGCCGCATTCCAGGCAGTCAAGGACTTGCTTGTCTCAAACTCGGTCTTGGCACACTTCGACGAGAGGCTGCCGGTGGTGCTAGCATGCGACGCCTCACCCTATGGCATTGGAGCTGTCCTGGGGCACCAACTCCCGGATGGAAGAGAGGTACCGGTGGCGTACTTTTCCCAGACACTCAACACAACCGAGCGGAACTACTCGCAAATCGACAAGGAGGGTCTGGCAATCGTAAAGGGAGTAAAAATTCCATGATTTCTTGTACGGGCGGCCCTTCACCGTGGTGACTGACCACAAGCCGTTGCTTGGCTTGTTTGCCCCGAAAAGCAGACCCCCCAAGTGCTGTCTCCTCGCGTCCTCAGGTGGTCAATTTTCCTTGCCAGCTACCAGTATGCACTGATTCACCGACCTGGGAAGGCGATGGGCCATGCGGACGCCCTCAGCAGGCTACCACTACCGGAAACAGGCCCTGACCCAGCACCTGCACAAGAGGTTATGAGCCTGGAGCTGCTTCCCGACCGCCCCATTCAGGCACAAGAAGTTGCACACCATTCCAAGAAAGATAGGGTCATCTCCCGGGTCCTGGACTGGGTGTGGAGGGATGGCCCAGCAGCAGCCCCGGGCCAGAATTCGCCGGCTACACAACCCGCAAACATGAACTGTCAGCCCACAAGGGGTGCCTGTTATGGGGAAGCAGAGTCGTTGTTCCCCAGCCCCTCCACAAAAGGGTCCTCACAGCCCTACACGAGACACATCCAGGGGTAGTAAGAATGAAGGCCCTTGCCAGGAGTTATGTGTGGTGGCCGGGGATCGATGGAGA